TGACAATGTTTACATGGAATTGACGATCTGTCTACAAATGTCCAAAAGTCGCCTACCTAGACGTTCAGCTTGAACTACATATCTACGCCCAAGAGGGGTCAGAGTTAGACGTGCAGATACTGCACCTGATTTGCACGTTGTGTAGACATCCAGATATGGTTCTGGACCGACCGACTCCATCTAGACATGATCTGCACGTCTGATGGACGTCTCATGTTTGGTGGGTTCATTCACTAACAGCGTGAAACTGGGACATGCTGATTGGAGCTTAAGACCACAAAGAATCTGAATAGAAACAGCCGCCCAATCCGTGCTCTGTGCCCATCCCAAAGCCCCACCCCTAAAAGCAGCCTTTTGCACTGGGCACACAGATAATTATACCTCTCTTCACTTTCCTTGAAAAATGTTTGATCCGTTTCTCGGCCCTGTTTACCATCACGGTCTTTACGCGCAAGCCCGGCCTGCTCAATACCGGGCTTTCAAATTCTCTCGGAGAATAGAAAAGCGGATTTCTCTGTCCCTGGGGCCCCTGCGAGAAGCTTCCAGAAACTCCAGGTTAGTTAATGGACCAAGGGCTTCAAGTTACGTTAATGTGGAAGACTTTAAAGCCATCGCTCAAGGTGTTGGCTCCACCGCCTAATGCCTCTCTGTCAGTCGTGCCTGATTTGTCGTCTGTCTAGACATTGGTTTTAATGATCATGATCCCAGCTAGGAAGGGCCATACTTCACAGCCCTCTCATTTCACTGATGATCTGAACCAATCAAGAGGATCCTCATCAAAGGCATTTTTAGTGAGACAAATAACCAGGCCTAGATATAAGTCACAAAACATTTGCGTAAATTAGCCTCCGCGACGGCCCACCCTGCTACTTCTCTGTTTTGGGCTGCTTTCCTAAACACCGGCCACCCTATTCCACACGGCCCTGTCACTTTAATTTGCCGATATAATTGAAATTTCTGCCGGTTGATGGCATTTTCCCTGTTTGCGGCATCAGTTCTGGTTTGTTATTGTTCCTGGTCTCTTTCACGGACCTATGCTGAAGCTATCACACTTCTGTTTGAATGCTGACCATTTGGGCTCCTCTGTAGCATTCAATAAAGGGTATATACTGGAAGCATTCAATTAAATCACCATGACTCATATGCTTTCATAGAATCTTTCCTCAACTTTCACTATGCATTAATGAGCTTTCTGTGTACATTAACGAAATGAGCTGGAAAAACATGGGGGGCTTCACATAGAAATACATACCTTACTTGGTTTCTGATGGCAAAATGTGAAAGGAAAGACAAACCGAAGCTTGAATGACATCTAAGGTCGGGGGCACTGATATCAATCCAATGACTTTAATTAAAGCAAGTTCATTAAGGGAGCACATTCTTTTTGGTCATTATTTCTTAAAATAAATTTGGTGTGAGTTTAACTGTAGCCTAGCCTCAGGACTTATTGCAGCTGTCTACGGGATAAGAAGCCAGAACGATGGATGAATGAATGAATGGATGAGCTGTCTTTCACGCACAACCTTTAAACTTGACCTGCAACATCAGTAACACCAGCCGCCCTGAAGGGGACAGACTCTGGACATCTGCTGAAAGGTGAGATGAGGCAGGTGAACTACCAAAGTCGTTATAATGAGACTATTACAAGATGTTGCTAGGAAACCTAGGCTGTGTAAGCAGTAGCCTTCATGAAGCATTATCCCCTGGGATTTGGTGCCTGCGTGAGTTAATGCCAGGAACCATGATCTCTGTACCAGCCGGTCCCACTGTTAAACAAAGGACATTCATCCTCATTCTGGCTATACATATGCTTGCCTGCTACCCATCGCTACTCATGCGATTTTGGGAGGAAGTGACCATCTCTTTCCATGTAGTGCTCTTGTCACCTTAACACAAGATTTTTTCAAGCAGAGGATGTACACTGCATCATCATGTTTAATCCAGCCAACATAGCTCTTTATGCAATGGGACATTCCTGTTATGATGCTGTCTTCTATTCAATACCTGCAGAATCAATTTACGGAATAAATAATATTGAAACTCTGTATCTGTGATCAGAAAGTTGCTGGTTCAAATCATATCCTTGGCTGAATAGTCACATCTCCATCAGGCTCTTGAGTAAGGTCCTTAACCTCCCCCCAAAAAAAAGAGCTGGATAGATGGCTGAGCCTGTGCTCTGGCCCCAGACTTCACTCTCACCTGCGTTTGAGTGCATGTCGTACAGGAGAGCAAAACATACAGACTAAAGCTTTCCAATGCAGCTGTCCTCATACTTGAGCAAATAAAGCTTAATTTCATTTCATTTTCACAATACCTGCATGTCTTCTAAAACATTGCATGAGCATCCCAAGAATAATATAGGGTCCAGTGATATGAGAGAGGGCTTCAGAAGAGTGCATTTACACAAAAGCACATGAACCCTTAATAAAGCACTCAAGTAAGGTACTTGTAAATCATCACTGATTTCTGCAAAGGCACACCAGTCCCGGCTAAAAAAGCCCCGTGAAGAGCATAAGCTATTATGACATTAGTTTCTCTGCAGGGCTGCATTTCGTGACGGAGCCTTCTGGTTCTGCAGCAATTCGTTTCCACGTGAAGATCTGCGAGGGAACATTTAGACGATGCCTGCGCAATTGATCAAACGCAGCTACGGTAGAATGCTGCAGAAGTACAGACAATCCACAGAAATTCACTGTGACGTGCCAACACTGGCCCATCTTCCAAAAAAGTTGGAGCGGGGTGGTGTGGGGGTGGGGGAAAAGGCTAGGGTCCGACGCTTTCAGCGCACAATCAATTACATCATCAAACGATTATATCACTATGATGTGATCACCTTTGCGTAAGAAATTTCGCTCCTTCCTCGGGGATATTTCACGCTGAGAAATCTCAGTCTTTTAAAGTTTAACAACTTCAAATAAGAAATCGCTTGATTATAGATCTTTCAACTGCGGACTTCTCCATTTCGATGATATCAGCCACTAGGTTGTGGTATTTAGCATGTGAAATCCGGGCCGTTAATGTTGATGTGAGTATTTTGTCAAACCGTGTCGATTTCTCCATCTGATCTCCATATTTTTCCACAGAAGGTCAATTGAACCCTTTCATAGACAAAAAATATGAGACGTAATTTATCATAAATTAATTAAATTAAATGAATGTACGGAGTTGTCCAAAGACTTGTTTATCTATACGTGCTGTTCCAGTTCAGTTTGGCTAGACTCACACTACCAGCCGAAACATCACCTGCAGGTCGTTCAGTTATTTACATAATTTATCACTAATAAAACATCACTGTAGAGATTTCTGTCAAGCATACTGTTTGCCTTATTAAAATCTGGGTAAGCATTTAATTAATGGGGGCGGCACGGTGGCTCACTTGGTAGTAATGTTGCCTTACAGCCCCAGGGCTACATCTTGCTTCTGCTGTGTGTGTGTGTGTGTGTGTGTGTGTGTATGGTATTGTTACGTGTTGTCCTCGTAGTTCGTACAACGACATGCAGTTAGGTTAATGGGAATCTCTGAATTGCCCGTAGTGTGTGGTGGTGTGTGTGCCCTGCAGTGCACTGGCACCCTATTCTAGGTGTACATCAGCCTTACTCTCTCTGCTGCCTGGGATAGGCTCCAAGCGCCCCCGCAAGTCTAACCAGGATGAGCGCTCAGAAGATGGATGGATTGATTTAATTAGCGCGCTCTTGACTGTTCCTTGTCGGAGGTCTACCATGTACGTCACCAGGCTTCAGTTTCATATTTTCCACCTTCCAAAATATAAATATGTACATTCGTTGTTACATACAGACAATCAATGTTAACCGTGGGGCGACTGTCCTTTTGTAAATAACAAAATTAAAGTTTAAGCTACCGTTTTCCACCTGAGATCAAGGTTTGCAAAACAATTTATTAAAATTATATAATATATATATATATATATATATATATAT